TTTTTTTGTGTTTCAATAAAATTTTAAAATAAATAACTGTCTACAAAATAAATAATCGACAATAATATGAGACAAAATGAAATGAAGTTCGAGTACTTTTAACAACTGATAAGATTACTCATATTTGATGCAGTGATTGGATGTCATCTAGAAATTTCTCATTATTTTTTTTTATTCTTCATACTATTATTGTATGGTCTCATAATTTTACTAGCGAAACATTTCTTTTCATTCAATCAAATCTACAAGTTTTTGTTACAAATAAGAACAATTTATTGAGTCGTATTGGTAGAAAAATACAATAAAATAAATTTAAACAAGAGTTACTTTTACTTTAGAAATCTTATTCTAACATTGGTTCAATAACAATCTAAGTCTATTGACATACGTTTGAATCTATAACTATTGTGATGTTAATAGCTTACTAGGCAATACAAAGAAAGACATAGTCTGAAATACTTTCATACGTAGTCTATAATGAAAAAACAGGTAAGTACTAATATTCAAGTATTCAAATGAAACTAGAGATAGTTATGAATCTTTGGTAATAACTATATATATATATAGGTTTTTTTCGTCAAGAAATTGTTGTTATTTATCCATGACATTTACGATCAATAAATCAAAACTATAATATCATTTATTTTAGATATATGAGAATAAAGTCCTTGCGAGAATGTGACTATGGAAGAAAGAGCGCGCGCCTCCTACACTTTCAGAAAGTAATATTCGAGTTCTATGATAAACTATTATATAAAGGTAGTAACGTTCTGAACCTAGATGAATTTAATGGATCTGTAAAATAGTCTATTGTTCACTGTAGTATTCGAAGCGTAGATTATCGCGACTTAATTTTCTCGAGATTTATTTCTTTCAATAATATATCACACATTCAAGTAAACTCAGAGAAAAATCATAGGTTGAAAGAAGAAAATATTTTATCCTCCTTTTCTCGTGAGATAAATGATGTCGTGACAATGGTAATCTACTCCTCTTTTCGCTCATTACAAAGCAATAATGATCAATATTTCATCACGATTGACATCTAGATTTTAAAAACAAATTTTTACATATAATGACACTTCGATATACTCATACGCCTTCTTTAAAATAAAATAAATCGAAACGAAAAAAAAAAAAGAAAAACAAACATTTCTTTCTCTATTTCAACAAAAATCTAATAAAAACAACACAAATAAGAAAGAAAATTTTATTTTTCTTAATAAATAATTCACAAAATAAAAGAAAGAAAATGCTATTTTAAACAACATAAATCTCCCCTGAACAATCACGACAACAATTAAATGTTAAATTTTCATAACGTGTTGTTAGATGGAAACGTTCATGTGATTTTTTTTTACTTATTAATTTTAAACGATTAATCATTGTTTCTAATTGTTCAATATCATTTACACTTTTATCAATTGTATTTGTTGATGTTTGTAATGATGATGATACTGATGTATGACTTTGTAAAATCTAAATAACAAAAAAAGAAAAAAAAAAAAAGATTTATTTTATATTAAAATTAGATAGTTTTTTTTTTCAAATCACTTCAAGTGCACATGTTTCAGTTTCAGTTAATTCAAGTTGTATACTCAATTGACGATGATTTATTTGTTGATGAAATATAGTCTGTTTTAAATAATTATAAAGTGATAATGCTAATGTTTGTATATAAGATGAAAGTTGAATTAAATCAAATTTAGGTGATATTGATAGATGTTTTCTATTATTATTTAATGCTATTTCATTTAATAATGATAAAGAACTAAATATAAACAAAATAAAAAAAAAAATTTCTATTGAACATTGAATCAAAAATTTCAAAAAAAAAAAGAAAAGAAAAGAAAAGAAATCCTAACCTATGAACTTGAATAAGTTCTTTAGCTATTTTTGAACGTTCTCCAAGTAAACGTTGAATAACATTTGTACAATCATTATATTGAACACTTAATACACTCTTATGCATATTAAGTTCATCAATAAGAACTCTATAAAGAGAAAACAAAAAAAAGACAAACTATTTGAATATGTAAATGAATGATCTATTTGATGATTTATACCGGCTTCCGGCTAATTTGCTTTGGTAAATATCACATAGAATAGTAAGTTTTTCAATTTCTTCAAATAAATCATTAATTTTTCTTGTTAATATTTGAATTTCAATTTCATAACGAGATTTATCACTTGAATAAAATATTTTAAGAATAGAAATTAAAAACAAAAAAAATCCTTACCGAAGAAGTCGTTCTAATCTATATTGAAAATCAGTTCCAATTGAAGCAACAAGTAATTTTTTAAGTTCAGCATTGACCTAGAACAAAAAAAAAACCAATAATAATTTTCTAATAATGAAATTAATTAGAAAAATAAACACCTGAGTTTGAATTTCAAGTTGTTGTTTAAGACCAGCATTTTCTTCTTGTACACGGTCTAATTCATTTTTAAGTTCTTGTTGATCATTTGATAAATTAAGATCTGAAGACGAATAATTTGTTGGACTTGATGGTCTAATGACAAAAAAACTCCTTGTATATCAAACAGTTTTAACAAGAAATATAATTTTATCTCTAGATAATATCTCACCTAATTCCATAGAGAATTTCATCAACATTAATTGATGCTTGAAATGGTTCAACAGTAGCAGTAGGTTTAACTTTATTTCCAATATTGATCATTTCTTTTCCTATGACCATTGTTGATGATGGTAATGGTGATGGACATTTACTATTATTTTGATATCGATATAATTGTGTTGAAATTGTTTGTTCAGGAATTAAAGGAATTGATTTCATTTGTTGTGTTCTTGAAACAGCTGCTCGAGTTGGTTCCCATGGAATGTAATGTAAATGTTTATGAGAACGTTTATTTATAATTTGATCATTATTAATCATTGAATTATTATTTGAATTCATTGAATCTAAAACTTAAAAGAAGAAAAAACAGTAAAACGAGATTATTTTGATTTTATTGCTAATATACAATTCAAAAAAAAACAACAAAAACAACAAAAAATTTTAAAATCATGTAAATATATCTTATTGTTAAAATACTGTTCACATATGTAATGAAATCAATGAAAATACAGTTGAATAACCACGAAATAAGTTTTTTCCTGTTTGTTGTTTTGTTATTGTTTGATTATAATTTGGTAAATAATCATGACCAAGTTCACCATTACCAAAAACTCCAATTAATGGTGTATTAGGAAATAATTTACGAAATTCTGAACATTCAACATTTTGTTCATCATTATAATAATTTGAACCACGTGCAATACAACTTATTTGTATAGCAAATGATAAACAATGATTATTATCTAATGATTTTAATTCATTTAATTTATTTCTTATTTGTTCACGTGTACGTATATGATTTTCTAATAAAATTTCTCCAATATGTAAACGTTTTTTATCACCTGTTATAACAATTCCACATGCATCATATGATATTTTTGTTGTATGTATTTGTCTATCATCATAATTTATTTTATCAACAAAACCTCCAATAATAGCTACTTGTGATGGATAATATTCAAGTAATTTTTTAATACAATCAACAGCATATGATTGACGTTGTACAAAAAAAAATATAACACAACGTATTTGTACATCATCAGGTACAGAACCAAGAAAACGATGTAATTCTGAACGTGACATATCTGATGCTATTTGTGTATTTGATGGAATTTCAAATGGATATATTCCAAGAACATCTGGAGGAAAATGTGGAAGAAATAAAATACCAATTGCATCATCTAGATTTATAAAGAAAAAAATATATATATAATGAGTTTTAGATATTTGATATACTTGATTCAATTTCATATGATTGATTATTATCTGTTGATGCAATAATTCCATCAGCAGCTATCATTAAAACTTTACATGATTTATTTAAATGTTTTATAAGTGCTTGTGATATATCAAAACGTTCATTAATTCGTGTTAAATTTCCTGTTTCTGAATGAATTCGTCGTGAATGTTTTATTAGTGGTGGTGAATTAGCTGATGAATAAAAACCTTTACTTGCTAAGATATTTGTTGATACAACTAAAGCAAATGTTGGTAATGACCAAAGATTATTATTTATATATAATGATATAAATTGATCAAAATCATGTAAGAGATTTGAACATGTTACTGTTGGTGATAATGGATCTGAAGGATATGTTAATGTATGAATTGTATGACGATGAGATTTAATTAAACGAGATATATGTGTCCATGATTGACAAACTAATGAACATGAATCAATTGAACGAATTGGTAAATGACGAAATATTGCTCGAGTTACATCATAACTTGTTGTAAGCAGATCATGTGATAATAAGGCTATAGGAGATTCGACCTTGTCATTTTCTTTCGTAGAATAATCATCCATTGATGTGACAAAGGTCGAGTTATATGTCTAACTCACAGAACAACTTTGTTGTACCTACATGATGAGTCATTGGTATCTGTAAATTAGAACCAATCATTTTCGAATGTCACTAGCAGACAGATAGAAATTTATCTTATCTATTTAGAATACATTCAAATAATCTTCTAATATAGTTTAAATTAGTGAAATTCATCTCAGTATTAATGGCGGATATAGAAGTTTTATAAGAGAAGACGATCATGATCATAAAACATGTTTTGAAACTCATTCGAAGTAGTATTAGTTCATTTTAAAGCTTTTTCTACTATGAAAACTCTTTTAGAATGAAAGCGATTATTTCCTGCTAAGTATGTTTGCAAATTTGAAGAACTAGACATTATTAATTTTGTCTATCATTGAACTTCTATATAGAATTCAAAGAACAATCATAAACGTTGTTAAAATTTTCAAATGTTTTGCATTCTTGGATATGACGACATGTATGTCAGTATTTGTCACTATGATGAAGAGTATATGTTTGAGACAAATCAATGTTACACATAATTTATTGTTTTACTACATCAAAAAAAAAATAATATTTAAAAGGTAATTTTCATAATGGATATTAAATATGTTCATACATTTGGATGAGTATTTCTAATTGAAGAATATGATATCGGATAATCATTTTTAAAATCATAATGAGGAGAAAATGTTTGATAATGATTATTGTCCATAATTATTTCCGAATATTGTTGTTGATTATCGATTAATGTTGGCTGTTGTTGTTGTTGTTGTTGATAATAAATATTTTGTTTTTTTGATAAATTATAATTTTGATAATGTTCATTTGAAATTGATAATGGATAATCATGAACATTAGATGCCTCAGGTACATTTACTATCATATGCTGTTGTTGTTGTTGTTGTTGTGGTTGAGATGAAGATATTTGTGAATAGTAATATGAATTTGGATGTCTATTATGAAACCATGATGATGAATGTTTATTATAATTACAATTGGAGTTTATTGTTGTTCTAGATTGAGATGCAATCATTGTACATATTTGTCTATTTGGTAATAAATGTTTGATTTTATGATGTTGTGGAGATGGTGAAGTTGATTGAATTGAAGAAATCATGATATTATTAGCATTATTTTTTCCTTTAGATTTTTTAGATTTTATTGAATGATTCTAATGAATAAAAAAACAACAACAAAAGTTATCACTTATATTCTAACTTAATTACTTTTTCTAATGTTTTTGATGAATTAGCATCTATCTGATCTATTAACCATCGATCATTTTTCTCATGTTCACAATATGAATGTGATGAACATTTTATTTCATTACGTTTCAAACAATCAATCAAATTATTTTCATTTACTTCGAAATTTTCAGCTAATATTGAATCTTCAAATATTAATTGTCGTTTATATTTCATTCGACTATTCATTAAAAAAAGAAATAATAAATTTTTATTAAATTTCATAAAAATTTTTCAACATACCGATTTTGAAACCAAACCTACAAAAAAAAATAAAATAAAATAAAATTCAACTTTAAAATAAAGTAAATAATTTGATTAATTTTTACTTTGACTTGTCGTTCTGTTAATACAAGTGTTGATGCTATTTCAACACGTCTTGGTCGACATAAATATTTTGAATAATAAAATTCTTTTTCTAATTCAAGTAATTGTTTATGTGTATATGCTGTACGAATACGTTTTGGTAAATTTGAATAACCTATATACAAATTAATAAAGTAAACATAATTATATTATTCAATGATCAACTACAAGATTAGAAGAACAAGTTGATTTTTACAAATGCAAACATTTTTCTTTTGTTAGTAATTAATAAAGTGAAATATAGAAATTTTTTTTATTAGAGTAAAAGATTATTAACCTGATCGTCTGTTTCTATGTGATTTATTTTTTGTTGTTGTTGTTGTTGATGATGATTTTTTCATATCATTTTCTAATGATTTAATAATATGATTATTAATATTATCATCATGTCTTGAAATATTAATGGTTAGTTGAGTAGTTGTCATTCCAATGTAGTTTCTTCAAACTACTATTCGATTATTCAATTAATATTTTCTATTGAAAAATAATAGAATGCTTTGTTGTTGTTTTTTTTTTCTTATTTCCATTTTTCTTATTTGAGAATTTTCAATAGGATTCAATATGAAATTGTTTGTCATCATCATTCGCTTCTATAAGAAATGATATCTATCCACTGAATAGTTAACAAAAAGAAAAAGAAAACAAATTGTATCTTCTTTCTCCGATTCGTTGATATAATTCTTCTTTTTTTTTTGGTGTTCTGTTGGTAGTTTGTATATATTAATATAGCAGAAAAAAAACAGAAATATCGTTGATTGTTCGAGTTGACACCCTTCAATGCACTTGAATACTAGTGATGCTTGCAATCTTTTGTTTTTGTTATCATACAATGTCATTTGCTGTAGTTCTGTACTCCATCAAATTGATCATTAGACATCTCTCTGGAGAAAATATTTTCTATATATGTGTATTAATGTAATCATAGACACAGTTGATACCAACGTATATTTATTGATTTGAAATTGACAGTTTTATGACATATATCGATAGAGGATATATAAATAGAATATTTGAAGTTATACCGTATTCGGCTATATTTTCTTTTATTCATTAGCACAAAGAGAAAACTGGAACAGAGAAACTGATTGATTAAGTTTACAAAATCATAAATCTACAAGAATTTGGTTACCAGAATGTTGTTCATTTAATTTTAGGGTGAGAATGTTTTCATTTATATTGGTTATTTTAATTGAGAGAAAAAGCTTCAAATAAAACATATTCCTCATTCCATTCGTGAATAAAGTTTGACTTGATCCTTCGGTTAGAATGCACATTTGTTCCGAAGAAAGTTTTATCTTTGTCAAACTTCAGTCATATCTTCTTGCATTGAATTTTGAATATTGAGAACGAAGAGTACTATGTCACCATGAGTAAAACTAGCTATTTCAGTTAAATCATTTTAGATCTCATCCTACATAGACAACATAATTTCTTGCCACAGCATGTATAATCAAAAGACATTTATTTTATCTATTCTAGACAAATGACCCCTAGGATCAAAAAAAACTAATAATTTATTATGAATAAATAGATAATACAGAGAAAAAAAAAATATAGAAATACATAGATTTCAAAAATTTCCCATATCATTGATAGCAGTTGAATGAAAACGAGCAGTATCCAATGAATTAGGTAATTTAAGAAGTTTCATTGGTTGAGATTGATGATTAGAAATATCATTCATACTAACATTCATTTGTGATAAATTATATTTATCATTTCGATGATCACTCATTGAATCATAACATGAATCATTATCATCAATAGAAAATGATTGTTCAGATAAATCAGAATTTGTTTTTTCTTCAATTTCACTTAAATATTCAACTTGACGTGATGGATCATAAAGAATTTGTGATAAACGACAACGTGGATAATTAAAATTTGAAAATGATGGAAATTTAGGAAGCTAGAAAGAAGAGAAAAAACAAATATGAATTATCTTCAAAATTTTTTCTTTATGAATACAAAAACTTACAGGAGTAGAATTAGATTGATGAGATAATTGTTGCTGAACAATAGGAGTTGATGATTTAATATTTTTTGAAGAAAATGTATGTTGAAGACGAGCAACAAATTTAATAAATGATGAAGAATGACGTTTACGTGATTGTTGTGATCGATGCATTTTTTTGAGATTAGAAATGTAAATGAACTATTTTCGGATTCTTCTTAAGAATTTAACTTATATTATATCGAAAAAAGCCAATTTCAATTCAAATAGATCATCTTGTTATCTACTTATAATTAATCAAAGCAATGTTCTGTAAAATGATATTCAATTATTATATATGTATATAAACCAATTATCTTCTATCATGTTCAACCGATTAACTATTCGCTTTTTTAATTTTTTATCCAATTCAACAAAGAATAATTTCATAGATAATTTATGTTATTTGAGAGTCAACACTTAGATAATAGTTTGCAGAATAAAAAAATATGATGAATGAGTAGATGTGTTAATAAAAATTCATGTAGTTTGAATATAGAAAATACATTCATACACATTTTATGCATGTTTTGGATATTGTGGAATTAAAATTCATATTTATAAGGTGTATACATAGATTGAATTTTAAGACTGTTAACTTAAAAAATTAGATATGAGTTGTTCGCTAGATGAGTTAATAAATGAGATTTCTATGAAATTGAATATTTGAATTCTGTTGACAAAGTTTCGATACTAACGAATAGAACAATATTTTTTGTGTTGAAAAAAAAAAGGAAACTTGTTCTATAGAAAATTTGTAGATAAAATTGATAAACAATCACAAGCTGGAACTAGTATAAACTACTGTGGTAGTGGATCAATACTGTTATATATGAGATATTATATTAGGAAAAATATTAGTACATTGGAAGTTTTAGATTCTATTGTAATTGTTGACGTAGCATAAGATGAAGAATACAAATGAATGAATAAAGGCAATGAAGAATTTTTTTTTCTTTGAATGTTATTGAAACTAGTTAGTGAAGTATTAGACACCTTTGAGAAGAAGCGAATTTTTAAATGAAAGCATTACATAAAATACTTTGAACACAGAGGATCATCATCCATATACAAAGCAGACTAGAGTTCATTTTAAGAAAACATCTGAAGCAAGTAGGACATTTGAGGTATTGGTTATAGACTTACACTTTTTCCATTTTCGTCATCTATCTAACTGATTTCATCCACACGATAACAGATTGAACAAATACAAATTTATAATATTTGATAATAATGTATCTCAATCCCGCTAAGATAAACTGAACGTTCATCAATTTTAGTGAGAAACAGTATGAAAGAAAAATTTATGGAAGGAGTTTATATCCATGTCGATTGTTTTCATGAAAGTCATTCGTGAACAAATTGTATTTTGTAGTTAGAAATAATCTATTATTTAGCAACATGGTTATCAAACAATTTTCCAAAGCGACGATAAACTGGCGGCTATGTGCCATTCGTTTTGATTTCTATATTGTGTGTCGCAATGTTCACTGTATCACATAGAGTGACTACGAAAATTATTTGACCTGGTCTATTTTCAATTTTTTTCTACTACCGTAAACACTCATTTTGTTTCTATACGAAATAGCAGGAACAAAAACAATATTGATGTTTTCTGTAAGATTGATACATCTCAGTCAAAAATACATTGTAGAGAGTGTCCTCGTTCGCTTCTCCTTCTCTTCTCTGTCTCTCTCTCTGTCGTTGACTTGCTTCTTTTAACATTTCTGAATTTTTTTTAAATACCTTTTTCTTTTTGACCAGTGGCGTACGCAGGGGAGGGGGACCGCCTCCTCCCCCCCCCCCCCCTTGAAGAAAAGTTCCCCGTAGGGGAGTACGGGTAAAAAAGTACTACGGTGCAAATTTTTGACAAACTCCATTACGAGCCCCCTCCCTTGGAAAACTTCTGCATATGCCACTATTTTTGACTCTCTGTATTTACTCTCTTATACCCACACGAATAGAGTCAATACTAGGTATAATGATATTAGTAGTAACTGTAAAACTCATTGCATTAATGTGCTGTTGCTTAATGCTCAAATATCATAATTTCTCTTTATATTAACATGTAAGCATTTTTGAGTGTTACATTTAGAAGGATAACAAAAAAGAAAAATATTGTAGAGAGGTAGAAGATATTTTGCTTCGTAGAGAATTGTTTACTCTAGCATTCTGGATAATTCAAACAGAATTTTATTTGCAACTTTCAGAAGATGAAAAATTTGTATTTCGGCCTTTCTGAGACCATATCATTGGGAAATTAGAAATCATTTTCATCTTCGAAAATTCTTTTCTCTACACAAATTACTATTTAGACTCTTACGAACTTTTACGATAGTTGAAAAAGAAAAATCGAAAATAAACTGGATCGAATAATTTTGTAAACCATTGTATATCTATATTTATTTACATTAACCTGGTGATGAGAAATACTTATATATTAATGCTACTTCTCATTGCTGAACTCTCCTATCTAATTCTATGTCGTTATCATATTTTTACTGTTTGCTTTGAACTTCTTCACCTATTTTATCGGATATGCGAGAAAAAAGCATGTTTTTCTTTCATTTAATGGTATAATCGAAGTAATATGCAATGAATATAAACAGAAACATATATAAACTATTGTTCACCCGCGTTCATTATAGTTTGATAATTTGCTGCTATATTATTCGACGGTTATGACTCGTCCACGACATTCGTCAGCAATTGCTAATAGCAATGAAAAGAGGCTGCTTTGTTTTCGGACAATTGACATCTTCTATGCATTCACCGCTTCTTTGTTTGACTACAATATATATATATATATATATCTCCTTCAGACAAATGCTTCAATATCATTCACACATGCATTATATCATAAGTACTTAGTACTGTAGGAGACTAACATCGAAGTGAAAACGATTCTTTTTTTTTGTTTCTATTGATTAGTATTTAGAGTAAGTGTATCTTGTATTCATATTCGATTCAAATTATTCAAATCGATTTCCAGTTTTACAAGAAAATTTATTATATTGTCCAAAAAAATCAATGTCGTCCCAATCTTATGAACGTTCAAAATCAAATAATTCATCAATGAATGTAACAATAGTAGCATCAGGTTCATCATTGATAGATTTACTTAATCAACAAACGTCTCAAACAACAAGTAAAGATGATTCAACACCAACTATGCTTAGTGAAAATATTAGCCGACGACGTACTCAACAGACTCGTAATTCAGAATCAAATGGTAGAGGTAATCAAATTTTAATTTTTTTTCGTTGAATAATGATGCTTTTTTGTTTTAGATAATGAAAGATTATCAACATTATTCAATACAACTGGTCGCGAACGAAATACTACAGCACCTTTAAAACAATGGCTTTATGAGCATCAACATCATCCATGTGAGTAATAAGTAAATTCTTCGACCATATCTTCTTAATTGAAGCTGAAGATCAAACTAATTAGAAGATTGACAGTGAAGGTGAAGATTGAAATTTTCTTTGCAATTGGAATGTAGTCTTCTTCAACTAAATCTTTTTATAATTATCTTTTGTTTTTTAGATCCAACAGAAAATGAACGAAAAGAATTAATGGAAAAAACAAGTATGTCTGCATATCAAATAACAACATGGTTTACAAATGCTCGTGTACAAATGCGTAAAGAAAAAACATTAATTTCAAAAAATGAAGAAAAACAAGAAAATAATATAAAACAAAAAAAAAATTCAAATCATGTTCAAACAACTATAGATTTAACAATATCATCTGATGATGAAAAAGTTGAATTACATATTAATTCACCAATTTTATTAAATCAAAAACAAATCGTTTTGGCATATTCTTGTTTATATAATTATCAAATTGTATGTTACAGAATAAAAAAAAAATAAAACAAAAAAATATCATAAAATTTTTGTTTAGGTTGAACTTCATCGTTTAGAATCGATTTATCCTAATCAATTATCAATATCTGGTTATGTTAATGATCAAACAACTCATTTAATTATGGGAAATGAAGAAAAACCTTTATTATGTCCATTAACATTGAAATTATTTCAAGGAATAGCTCGTCATTTATATATCATGTCATATCAATGGATTATTCAATGTATAAAACAAAATAATATTATTGATGAAATTAATTATGAAATACGTGGTGATATTCCATTTGGAGAATATCATGATGGAATGAAAAGAAGTCGATTATCAAAAGAAGTTAAACTATTTGAAAAATGTCAGTTTTTTATTTTATGTGATGGTTGTCAAGGTAGCATGGTAAGTAGAACAATTAACTTAATCCAAGATATTCGATTTAGTTCTCATACTGAAACTTGTAGAATGATGGATTTAGCATTTTTTTTTTCAAACATTAAGAAGTCGATTGTTGTTAGTAGGAGTGAAAATTATTTTTCTATTCGATTTCTATTAAGCATAGGTCTTTTTTTGTAAGTTTTTTATAATTCAACAAGTATGAAGAGTTATCTGATAGGAGGGATCTTTTAAGTATTGGTATATATATATATATATTTATAATAAAGTGATATCCCTATGAATGAAAATCAGAAGAGATAAATGCATTATTTACTATCAACTGGAGTTGCTGATTGTTTATTAGTTTCTCGCATGATAGTAACTGGTTAGCATTTAACTTACTGAAACTTATAGTTGGTTATCAAAAAAAACTTCATACTGAATGTTCGGAAATATCGATATGATTTTCTTTCAGTCAAATGAGTTGTAAGATGATAATTGCTTTTTTTTTAGTCAAAAGATGAACTATCTGCTTTAATTCAACTATGTCATGGTTCAATTCTTCCAACATTTCCATTAACAGCAACGACTGATAATTCAACATTCACTATTGTTCTTTGTAACGCTTTAAGTCCATTTGATTCTGCTAATCAACAACAATTATTTGAATTATCTCGTTCAAATGGTATTCATTTTCTTGATCCTGAATGGATTATTGCATCAATTATTCAATTTGCTTTACAACCTTTTGATTGTTATGAAGAAAAATTTTAATAGAACTCAAAAACTGTACTGTATCTTGATTTAATCAGATATAGCTTAACAGTGAAAATAAATTAGTCATAAAATCTAATAGTCATGTTCATCTGTAGATTTTTTTTGTTTCTAATAAATATGAAAAAATGAATTCTTTCATTTTAGACTCGATGTTCGAATAGAAATCGAATAGATTTTACTTGTTTGATTGGATGAAATATGAATTTGATAATCGTTGGAATGTTGATGATGTACTTAAGATTGAAATACAAAATTCTACTAAATAGTTTAAAAATTTACATTGATGAGTTGCATCACAATTCTCGAACCTCATATAATAATAATTAGATTCTTCAGTTTTATAATGATAAACCTAACATATCAGTAATTATTTTGTATGGAATAGAGTCGTTTGATCTTAACTATTAATAACATTTAACAAATTCTAAATAAATATGAAGAAAATTGTAATGCAAAAGTATGACTACACAACGTCACTGTTCTAAGACATTGCCGCCGAATTTGAATGCTGGGAGATAGGCTTAAAATTACCATAAGATCCATTCGAAAATGAAGTTGATTTAATACATTTAGTTATGGTGAAGATTTCTTATGAGGTTGTATGTAGTTGAAAATTTTCTTTTTACAAATAATCTTTTCTTTCACTTCTCAAGCCTTGTCATATGCAAACGCACATGAGCAATAAATCGTTTCAGTTCATTGGAATGACAAGCAATGTCATAAATGCTAATTAGTTGTTTATCAGTGAATAAAAAAAGAAACATTGTACATCCGCATTGTTTCATTTAAATTGTAGCCTTTCTATTTTTTTTTTACACTCAAGGTTCTAAAAAACATAATGTTGTATTCATAAAATAAAATAAACTATAGTCTTTTGAATGATTTCGCAATCATACATTGAAATCGAACATAAAATGTAAAATTTTGTTTTTATTGAACTTTGAAAATAGATAAATTAGACATTATTTTGTTTCACAACAAGTTCAAAATATCAACAATATTTATGTTCTTGTACCACTTATTAGTTGAATAAATATATGTCTGTTACTAATAGAAGTGTCAACTATCAAGTACTTATTTATACCGGAATCATAATATATTCATGTTGATTTAAGCCCAAAAAAAAAAGTGTACTTTATAGAGTATATATTTTGTTTAGTCTAGTTATCAGAATATTGAAATGCCTAGAATTAAAACAATTACATATTTGATCTAATACTAGAATATTTCAATACTTTAAAATCTAAGTTGAATAGTAAATTCGAAAATACATGAAATAATACATCCATAATCGATTTAACGCTTAGGTATTATGCTATTGTTACATAGCGCCTATCTCGTTGTTTTTATTCTCACACATATATGTGTATGAATAGAAATAGAAGTCTTCTCTTCATATATTGTTCATGTCAAACAAAAGTTATTGTTTATTTGTGATATTATAAAAGTATGTAAGTGGTACTATGTCACTCTACATCATCGTTCTTAGATAACTGATAAACGAAAAATTGTATTAATGGATTAAAAAAGAACAAATGTCAATTTTATACGTATCTATTTTAATCAATTAAGAATCTTGTATAATTCATTCGTAGATCTTCTAGGACGAATATGGTATAAACAAATTGGTTACTTAATATTAATTGAACAGTAAAATTACTAACTTAATAGCAAAATTTGTATAATAATACTTCATATATTTATATTTATAATTGAGTAGGATAATATAATACAAATATTAGTAAATGTATAACAGAAATTACAAATGTTAATCATGAAACAACACTTTTCATATGTAAAATATTTATTTAATAAACATATTTTATTATGAAGAGAAAATTAAGTTTTATGAGATCTATAATACTAAACCAAGGGCAAAATAACAGACTTTATAAACCATAAGATTTGTTATTTCCTTTTTATGATCGAAAAAGAAATGATATTTTCCATTAAAGAAAACAAAATAAAAATTGTTAATATCAATTTGTTATATTTAAATATGTTTAATTTTTATACACCAATAAAATGAACACTTTATCACTTTATTTTCATAAATGAAATCATATTTCTATATATATATATGTATATTCCTTATATTAACTCGCTGGACTAAGCTATATGAAAAAAAAAATCTCTCTTGTATCAAGATATATGTATTTACAAGTGAAAGAATATTTCAATTGAGAAAAAAAAATAATAGTCACATCAAAAGTGAAGACAGCACTGTTTCAAATAAACATGAATGAGAACAAGTTTAACTATCATTATTATTATTATTATTATTATTATTATTTTCTGGATTTGTTGTTGATGAAGGAAATCTATTTGCATAATGTTCTAATCGTCGACGACGTATTACATCAGCATCATTTTCATTAATTGAATTTAACATATCTAAATAATAATCGAATTATATGAATAAAAATTATTTTGTTTTAAATAAAATAAAATTTTACTATCTGTTGAATTAATATTTTCTGATGATGATAATACTTGATCAACATCATTTTTTAAATTACTCAATAAATGTGTACCATTTTCCATATTACTATTTATAGAAAAAGTAAAATTTAATTTGGAAAACAAAAATTAAGAAAAAAAAAACTCAAACCTTTGTGTTAAAACAATATTCATATATTGTTGCATTTGTATCATTGATGCATCTAATAAAGTTCTTACATTACGTAAACATTGAATACGTGCTTGAACATGAGCTAATTCTGTTCCTTCCATTGCTCGAATTGCTTCTTCAGACATACCAGTAAAATCAGTTGGCGGTAAAGGTGGAGGAGGAAAAGCTTTAATGAATAATAATTAGATGTTTTATTTTTCATAGTTTTGAACTAACTTACCAAATGGTGGTAATACCATAGGAGATAAATTAAATGGTATTTGTGGAAATATTCCGACACCAATTGTATTGGTATTTGGTGATGATGCTTGAGTTGTTGTTGTTGTTGTTGTGTTCAATGGTGTAGAGCTAGAACTTGTTGATGCAGTTGAAGTTGCAGGAGGAGATGGTGGAACAAATCTAACTGAAGGTACTGGTATTTGAGCTTGTGCTTGAGGAGCTGCAGCTGGTTGAGCATTAGGTGGTTGTGGTGGTGGTGGTGGTGCTGCTGCTCCTGTTCGAGGAGGTGTAGGACGTAAAACAGTAGTTCGACAAATAGGACCTGAAAATATTAATATTTCATATGAAGTGAAATTTTTTTTTTCCTAAACATACAAGTTTGTTGTCGTTGAAACCATGAACGTAAACAATTTTTATGAAATATATGTTGACAAGAAAGACGTTTAATACTTTGTTGTACTTGCATATCTTCTCGACATATAATACATGTTGTATCAGCAACATTAGCAAGTTCTTCAGCTGTTAAATCAGGATACATTGTATTTAAATTACGAATAGCACGTCGTGATTCAAGAACATCATTACATGATTTACGAAATGTTCTATAAAATAAAATAAAATAAAATAAATAATATAAAACAAAAAAAACTTTTTACCTCATGGCAATAAACATTGGTCGAATAGCAA